TCTAAAGGTTCTTGAGCACTCGTTAAGGAGGATTTCATACGAATATCATAACAATACACTTCACCTCTGTAATATCATTCTGTTTTAAGGAGGGTGAAGTGCATTAAGGGTATCATGTTTAGATTGGTGTTATCAATCAAAACCACCGAGTAATGAACCTGCCAAGTTTCCTGGTCTAGACCGAGGACATTATGTTATATAGTATAGATTAATACATCACTAAGGGACCGGGACCGGAGAAGGAAGGGGAGGAGAAAATTCCTTTGATCACCCTAAAAAATTGGAGACAACAATGAGGTTTTTAGGAATCTCCCTTCCGGATTGATTGAATACCCCCCCCCTCCCCCAGGCATTAAAAATAAACGTGTGAAAACTCTAATTTTAATTTAATTTTTTTTTTTGAAATCTGGCGAGAAGGGTGGCCAAGAAAAGTCTAAGTGGCGTGAGTGTTGATGATGGAAATTAAAATTATAATCATACACTGATACACACACCAGTAGCACAACGAGAAGGAGGTTGGTATTTTGTGCACATTTGCAAACACATGTAAAGGTCGCTATGGCAAAGTATAAACATTTGGTTGGAAGAAAACAACTAAACTGATTGAAAGAGAACGGTTTGTCATTTTCGCATTAGGAAAAAACAATGCTTGTAAAGCTATATTTTAAACTACTCTCCTGAAATGGCTCGTTGCAAATTTGACTAAATATTTGCAGAGCGTCGATCCCTAAGTCAGCCAACGTTTGAACAAGAAAGAAGAGTTGATCTTCAAACTCTTCTTGTTGATAAGATATGCTTTTCATTGGAAGTATACCCTTAACGATAAACTATATGCATGTTTAAATAACCTCACTCGAAGGTGAAACATGGAATCGACAGGAGTTGGTGGGATAGTACTCTCCGTCTTTTTCATAATTTTCGGGACTCGTTCGGCGCTTTCAAATGCTTATACTGTCATAGATACCTCGCCTACCACGGATCTGACGTTATATTTATCAGAGCAACCGTTCCACGTCAACAATTCCATCACAGTACCACAGGGGGTAACGCTGAATGTAGAACCTGGCGTTACCGTTAAATTCAGCCCGCTGTCGGTGTGCGCGTTGAGGTACGGTTTTTGGCAGTGGGACAACCGGACAAACGTATACTTTTCACGGCTGCAGACCCAAGCAATGTTGAAAGGTATGATAAGCAGTCACCCGTTTGGTTCGATGGTGCACGATTGGCCGGGGACTGCACGGAAACTCATCATGGACGCCTGGAACTTTTATACCAAGATATCTGCAGTCTAGAAAGTCTTTGTGTTTTTGGAGCATTTCTTTCTTTCTTGTTTTCTTTTTTCTTTTTTTAATTATCATAGGAGCCTAATGGGAAGGGGCCAAAGCGAAATTACTCTCCCTTCTCACATATTTAAATACATCAGTTATAAATGCAAGAGTCTCACCCCCCCCCCTCCTCCCATGACCACAGACAGGCGTTATTCTTTAATCTTTTTGAATTATTAGCCCCCATCTGACTTTCTACTAACCGGAATATTCATTTTCACAAAAATTTGTTAAAGAGTACGTAACATTTTTTCCTTTCAGGTAGTTTTGGCACCGTTTGTCAAAATGGCTGGGGTAGTTCCTACTACAACAACAACAACAGAGTTGTTGCTAGGATGTTGGGATATCAGACGTGTACCAAATTATATAACAGAGGCAGTGGCACTGGAAGTATTCTTCTGAACAACGTGAGATGCAATGGACATGAGAGCTCCCTCTGGGACTGTCCTCACGATGGGGTCCGTGTACACAATTGTTGTGAGTATCTTACTTACCTGTTATCTTTATTCATGTATTTACCACTTTTGAGAACCATGATATTGCAATTGTGTAATCTTTTATAATAGCCTAAGGCCAATGTCAGGGATGTTTCTTTGTTTGGTGATTGTCAGAGTGATCTATCACGAAAATATTAAACTTAATAATCAGGTCCTTTTTTCACTGCTAACCACAGAAAAGATAAACTCGACACTTTTACAGACGACTGTGTCTACATCATGTGAACATTTATTTTAACCTATTTTTTTTTGTTTGTTTATTTGTCCATTTTATTTCGAACATGAAAGTTTGCACATGAATTAGATGGAAAATAATGTAAGTTCAGGTATTAATATCACTAGTATTTTGTGTCTTTAAGTGATTGCAAAAGTTCTCTTTGTGCAGTGTTTGATACATTCCTGACAACTGGAGGAAGTTAGACAAACTTAATTAGTTAGACAGTCAGACAGAACTTTTTACCAAAAAAGACAAAAAGTGAACTGTGGTCACAAGTCTGCTAGAAAGGAAAACAACACAAATCATTTTCTGTTTTACCAGTATTGTGTTGTACCGATGATGGAATTTGGACCATTTACTCCACGTGCGACATGCACTCATTCTGGTTTCAAATAGCTGTTGTTGGTACGTTCTTAAACATTACTTACAATGAAGACATGAAGCTATATACCGATGTGAAATGTAAGAGGTTGACCATTTGATTTTTTATCAGGTAGTTTGTAAAAGGTTATCATGATTTCTATACCGCTCTGTTATAATATGTATAGTGGCAGATCCAGGATGTTGCTAACAGCAGAGGGGGCGTCAACACAAGTATCAATAAATTCTGCCTGGTTTCTCGTGGCAATATTCAATGTTAGGCTGAGGTAATATTACTGTCATATATACCGTGCAGATATGGAACATGCTTTAAGAAAGGCCTGCCCTGTTCACCTTAGCTGCTGGTAACCCTGTCCTTGGGCATGTCTTTGCATGGGAACCAAAATGATAAAGTATCATACAGCTATTGTCTGTCTTTCTGTTGTTAGTAATCTATAGTTAAGGAATGGAGATAATGTAATATCAATTTACAGTTAGAACAATATAGAGGAGCTGAATGTCAGTTTGGACCGGAGTGACAGGAATGGAAGTCCGTTAGGAACCGTAGTCCTCTCCCCGTTATTTTGTACAGGTGACATTCGTCCCATATACTTACCTTTATACGACGACTAACCATAACCTGTACTAATAATATGGACTTCCATTCCTATAGGACCACCATTCCTGCCACACAGTTTTTTCCTATTTTGCTGACTGATAAATGGAAACAAGGATTAAAATCTGTTTTTATAACTTTTAATATCTTTTATGTCATTGTGACATCAGTTCATTAATTGAATTTGCCAGTGAAGCAATTAAAAATGCATTGCCTATTCTATGTCACACGACAAACATTAAAAACGAGAATTTTATCTCCCCATTTTCCAAATTATCGTCTTTTAAATAGTTACACGCACTACAAAGGACCCTCATTACAGTGTCTAGTCACAGCAATGGTTGCTATTACCGTACGCACTGACCTCATCTGGCTCGTACGTACCAAGGCTTTGAAGCGGCAATTAAGGCCACTCTTGGGATAGGTTTTTAGAGTTTCACCAAGAATAACATTCCAGGCATCGGCATCGGTCAAAACTTGTCCAGTTTGGTTCAGTTTTGTTGTAGGACATATAGGCCGTTGATTCGGCGAGTAATAACCTGCCCACATATTGTCTATTTGGTTCGAATATGGCGATTCTGATGACCAAGGTAGCTGCTCATTTCCTTGGTTATGTAAGTTATCTGCTATAAAGAGTGCTCTGTGTGAACCGGTAATTTCAACGTGCACCCTAAAATTGTTCCTAAGGTCCCCCTATCAAATGATAGTTAAATGATAGGCATAGAATAAATGTTTTTGTTTAACACCGCTTAACCCCATTTTACGCACTGCAAAACCGACCGCTTGCATGCATTATGTCAAATTCTTCTATGCAGTAGTTGCCATCATATGGATACTTTTTTGACAGAACCATGCTTCGCCTAAACCAATCTCTGATCAGCCCAAAGGAGCACTACCCAATTAAATCACTGCATATCACACAATGCAGCAATGCAACAAACATGGTGATCAGTTAATTCGTAGCGACACACCTGACTACACACGTCTTCATTCACATATCTTATATGAGATCTGAGTTTTTTAAAGAACGCATTTTTACCTAGGCATGCCTTAAAAACTGAAATACTCAATTTAAAAAATTTAAGCCTGTGCAACTAACCCTACATGTAGCATGTACTAATCATATGTGACCCCGGACATCCATTCCTATAGAACAACCATTCCTGCCCCACCGGCTCAAACCAAAACCACTATCATAATTTATACATAAGTCGAATATAGAGCAATGTGAGATCAACTGTATGATGCACAATCTATTAAAGGGTAATTGTGTTAATGAAATTCAAGACTGCAACCTGCTTACTCATGTAAGTTTATCAGACTCTTTCACGCAGGATGATCTTGGTAAGCCCTGACGATCTTGTCAAGTGCCTGTACCAATTCAATTTGAACTGTTTTACATTGGTCTGTAGGTCTTCCTAAGCTTCCTTCGCTTATTTCCATGTCTTACCTTAAACTCCATATTGATATCGCGCTTTGTGTAGTTGATGCAAAATAACTTTTTCGTGAAACCCGGCTCCTATGACCTGCACTTCCTGCTGTTTTAATTAGGGTCTAAGATGTTAGTGTCCTTGTCTTAGAGGCGCATTCAGACTAGCGGACTAACAGATCTGCAGATCAAATATGGCAACCGACTTGAAAGCTTGCTAGTTGATCCCCGAATAGATACTGAATAAATTCCCCTCGGGGATTACGCAACAAGCTTTCAAGTGAGTCGGCCATAATTTATCCCGCGAATCTGTTAGTCCACTGTTCTGAACGCATTCATAACAGATGATCAGGGAACTTACTGATCCACCGACTGAATATGGCCGACCTTACATACAAAGAGATGCTGCTAATTCTCCGGTGGCTTCCTTGCCTCCACACGCGCCATAAAACGGATCAAATCTTGGCTCCAAGGTTTAATTGCAGCGACGTCGCGTGTTGAGGCGGGGAGGTCGTCGGGGACTGTCGACATCGCTTTTAAGTTGGGTCGGCCATATTTAGTAGGCAGATCAGTTAGTCATCATCTCTTGTGAATGCACTCCTAATCAGCTGTTCTGAATGCGCTCTCAGAGGCATAACAGCAATAGGCGTATTAGAGAGCGCATCAGTCTAATCTTTAAACAGATGACTTTCTTCAACCAGATTGCCTTTCATTCATTTCACAAGTGATATTGTGGTCTGAGTTGATCCTGAGAGGGCTTCGGGTTTTGATATTTTATCTGGAACGTTTGAACCTAGCTCTTCCAAACTGTTTTTTGTCTTTGTTCCCAATAGACTACAATGTGACTACTGTAGTTGTTGGGGTTGTGTACTCATCCATTTGATCTTTTGATCCTTTCTGCAATGATCTGCATACCATGTGTTAATAAACAGTTTTATCAAGACGTTCCACTTGCTTCTCGTTCTCCTATTACTAATTAGCAACTAATAAACAACTTTCAGATACACTATTCCCCAAAATGTTTGGTACACGTCAAAAATAACTTCACTTTTTGGGATATGTTACTCATATTTCTAAAACGCAACAATTGGTGCGAAAAATTAGTCGTTGCAGCAACTGGCACGACATTAAGTAAGATGTATGTGTATTATGAACACTTTTCAATCAGTCACTCTCCATTGGTTATGACTGGAATGTCTGTGGTGTGTGAAACATGTCACAGAGTTTTGGTACAGTGCTGGTGGGGTAGGGTGCGTTTGTCATGTTCTGTCAATTTTCGCGGAGGTTTGCATATTAGTAACTGTGTCTACCGATTACTGAGACCATGCCGCGTCCTACCAATATGGTAATGCGACACCAGATGGTTGCATATGCAGATATGGGCGAGAAAGAATTTGAGATTATAGCCAGACGTTTGTGTGTGGACAGGAAAACTGTGAATAGAATCTTGAGGAGAAGGGCAGTGACAGGAAATGTGACACCTGTGAAATCTACGGGTAGACCGCGAGGTGGAAACACCAGAAGTGATCGTGTCATCATTAACCTGGCAAGAAGAAAGTGGACAAAACCTGCCAAAGCCATTGCCTTGGAGCTACAGGCCCGACGTTTGGCTCGATTGTCTCGCCAGAAAGTAAACCGCAGGCTGTTGGAACATGTCTACGCTTCAAGAATAATGGTGGAGAAACCACGCCTGACACCTGCCCATCGAGCAAATAGGCTGCAGTGGGCGCGGCAGAACCGTAACCTTACGGTCCAACATTGGAATCTCAGGGTGTTTGCTGATGAGTCCCGTTTTCTACTGTATCCAACAGATGGAGGAATGAGAGTGCGTAGCTATAGTCTCATTGGAGAATGCTTGTTGACTGAAAATATCCAAGAAACAATAGCTGGAGGAGGTGGTTCCGTACATATTTGGGGTGCCATTTGCAGCAACGGTATTTGCCCATTGCTTCCTCTGGATGGAAACCGTAACGCTGCCAGATACAGGGACATTCTCCAACAGAACCTGGAACCGTTCGCAAGAGGGATATACAGACACAAATTTTGGATTGCAACATGACAATGCAACTCCCCATACAACCCGCTAAACTAACGACTATATCCGCCAAACAACATTCAGCAGATGCTACAGCCAGCAAGCAGCCCAGATGTATACTCAATTGGGACGAACTTGGTAGTGCTATTCAAAGGAGAAACCCTCCCGCTGCAAATTTAGATCAACTTCGAGATGCCCTTCAAGTTGAAAGTACCACAATTCCTCTCCAAAGAGCAGTGACTCAACTTCACAGTATTCCACGCCGTCTGGCGGCCATTATCCAAGCTTGCGGTGGAGCGTTCCCCCTACTGAGATTAATAACTTAGTCTGAAGAGTTTTTGTGACAATCTACCCAAATTTCATCTTGATTGTCGATCACAATTCAAATTTATGTTTAAATTTTCACTTGTTACTGTTGCGTAAAAACATACTCATTCTGAGGGGCATGAGGGAAAAAAAAACCTAAATAAATAAACGCTTTTCTTACATTTGCATTGTTTGTTTCTCTTTTACTTTGCTAATCCTCCAGCTTCACATATTTAGCAATATAAGCGGTATAATTTTGGTATTAATAATAATGAAAGAAACAGGGCGAAATGCATCCCAAAATTTCCGTGTACCAACCATTTTGAGCAAGAGCGTATGTGTGAAATGAGTCAATTGTATACAAAATAACCTGTGAACAATAACGTCGAGTATACCAATTCCCCAATTTCATAATAGTATGCATGTCGTCATGTTGTTTAATACCGTAGACCTGTGCTTCAGGTTTCCAGGAGTCCCAGGTAACACAATAATATCGAAGGCCTGAGAGTAATACATATATGAGGCCGTGTATGAAAGATTTAACAAATTAGAAATTCAAGAATTTAAACATGCTAGGTAAATACACATCACTTAATAAGTCATTTCACAAATATCGCATCTAATTGTTTAGATTAACCTTTACTTTTATCGATCTCATCCCATTGTCTCAACCACCTAAAAGAAATAAAGAGAACATGAGGAAAAAGTAACACGTTTACATGCAGGCGAAGGAGTTATACTTCAATATTAATCGCGAACAATATCAACAGCGACTAAAGACCGTTGCCTGTCTTTCACACTTTTACACAAACACACGAAGGTTTAATAAAGGGAGTCGCGGCGCGATATCTATCTCTTTCATTCGAACAAGCAAAGGGCTGACCCGAAGTAAGCTTTCTATACTAATGTCCTTTTTATTGTGTATTGTAATTACTCTACTTGCTCGCCTCCATTGTCTTGTAAAAGTGACAAAGAATGTGTTGTATTCACACACGAGATGAAAGAACTTCGCATAACTCCTTTGCCTTAAGTTGCATAATGTCTTTCTCAAGGTTATAATCAGTGTGAAGAGGGTGTCTTGCCTCATTTAAAAAGGGTGTTGTTCTTCATACTGGTTGTTGCTTAACTTATGCTAATCTTAAACTTTTATGTACCAATATGGTTTTAATAAATCGCCAAAATTATGAATTTAATGAACATTGTGTATCAAACGTTTTGATACGATTTAAATAAATGGACGAGGAGGATTACGGTATTAGGTTCTATTTACCTCTGGCTTTAACTTCGCCCTGCTATATAAATGAACAAATGTTGCAGATCGTAACAAAAAACTTTCTTATAGTGTTTTATGACATATATGATTTACACATTTGATAGTGAAACACTCCTCGACTTTAACGAATCACCTGACGTAAACTGTCTACCCGCGCTCCCCGAAAAAAACTGTTTCTTTTAATTTTGAAATGAATTGCTTTTAAGGCAAAGAAGTCCATTAAACCCTTTAGTCTCAATATCATTGTACAGCATGTTGTAATCGATATTTAAAAAAGTTAATTTTTGTACTCCGCTTTCATCGAGGATACCTCAAGTTGAGGTTACAATTACGTCGCTCGCCTATGCTACTGGAATATATATTTAAGGACAAATTAAGCTTTGTAAAGTCCCTATTGTCACACACCATAGATACTTTATTTTGTCTTGAATGAAAAAATAGCCTCAAATTATCGTTTTGTGCTTAAACCTTTCATTACTTGAACCAAGATCTGTACTATAGCTACCAAGACGTACATGCATCAAGTTGGGTCTGCTGGGGGAGGGGAGCATTTAAATGATAAACGAGGAAGTCTACCTGCAAAAGCAGCAGCAGTGGTTTAAATAATCGCTATCTAGACTCCTTTTTCTTTGACAGCAACATAAAAAGTGTTTAGGGAGAAAGTCACACAAAGACCCGACGTTGTTTTGTCTTCAGCATTTCCTCTTCCTTGTTATCTGCAATTACTATCGTCAATTAATGAAATCGAGAAAGCAATTAAGTGACGGCACATTGAATATAGTCACTAGGTGCATTTCGCTGAGTGTTTACAAGATCTAGCGACACATTTTATCGCCACGCGTTCTAGTTTGATTAGTTTAGAAAATTAAACAGTTACTCTGTCGGCTCTCCGTCATTGCTATGAATCTGACATCGAATTTAGTCCAAAATATTAGTAAATTCAGAATTATTAGCTAAAACGTAAATTGCCCTAATTTGTCAGATAATCAAAAATGCCGGTGATCCACGCGGAGGGTACGCTTTCCTGAAGGTAGCGGCGACGAACGGCGACGATATTTTTCTGAATAGTGAACCTTTATTAGTTACGAAACGCCCCCTTTTCAACAGGTGCGTTTTATTAATTACTTCATGTCACAAAGTTAATTTATACAGGCAAAACTTTATTCAAGGAAATAGTTTCACGAAATGAACGAGAGTAAAATATAAGTCGGCACAAATATAAGGCATACAACAATGAGTCATGTTATGGATCATGTTATGGGCCATGTCGGATTATAATGGCATACCTTTATGCAAAACAGTCTATCGTTTCTTCCACCGCGAGTCCCTTTATTTAATATAATGTATTACTCATTACCCGTTTCATTTGACACTCTCTCTTTTTATCTCCCTTCCCCTTTCTCTTGTTAGAAGGAGGGTAAATACTTAAGCACTCAAAATCTGCACTATCAATCTTCAGAAAAACATAAGTCAACGAACCAGTGGGCTGATCCACAACATCCGACACAGCAGAATGAATCAAATAACGGCTAGCACAAATTAATATGCAGTTAGCTATAGTGCCACTACATACATACACGGTAATCAGCTGCACGCGCGAAGCTGTTGACCAAAAGGATAGTTCGCTACGGGGTACCGTTTGTTTACATAAGTACTCTAAGGGGGCGTGGCTACCCAGGCGACCAGGGGATTAGGCTAGTTACTATATGCCGTCAACAATCGTTAAGCGACCCTATCATTATACACTCTCTCTATTGTATTTTCCACCGCATTAATCGCAGTGTAATCTTCAAATGGTCCACGGGGTAAATGTACACATTCTTAATCCTAGTACGGCATTTCAGTTCACAGTCAAGACGTGTGGCTGCAGTGCTCAGGTTTCTCTGGTTATCGTGGGATTGCCAACGAAACAGCCAAGTACTGGTCTGGCATAGAGCTGGTGACAAACTCCTCCGTGAAAGGAATAAGTGATCTCCAATATGTCGACATCGAATTCGCTGGTCTTCCTAACATCGGGACACATTCAAATGATACAGCAGCCATATCTGTTAGCGGAATCCCACCTGTGCTTGATAACCTGAACATCACAAATGTCATCGGTAATGGTGTTCTACTCAGAGATTTAACTAGACATGCGGCGATCAACAATAGTAAAATTGAGGACAGCATGGGCAACGGCGTTTCCTTCAGAAGCTATGGTGGTAAACTGGCACTGGACAATGTCCAGATTGCTAATGCCCATAAAGCAGGTGTATATTACAACAGAACATTCCTGCTGCCTTCCTATAAGATGTGTCAACTGTCGGAAACAACGGTTCCTGATGAACATAGTCAGCTTTGACAGTACAGACCTTCATCTGGGGTCAAGGTCTTCCTGTTCTCAGGTAGGCCACTCGATACTTATTAGACCTTTACACTGATTTGTCATATTTAAGAATTGGCTTGTTCAACGCGTAGCCTATATTGTAAAAAGAACGTTACACAAAAGTTTCTGGCCATACATCTTTACATTTTGAGTAAATAATCATTCAGCTCAAGCGTTGAATTATTTAAGTACACGGGTAGGTTATAGAGTTACGCAAGCGACGTTGTTTCATAAAACATGTGTTTTAATTTGCTGTGTTCCATCATATAGGTGTTTCGAAGTCAAAAACCAGGATATATTTTGGCGGTGCGCGTACTATATATAAGGACACGTTGGTATACATATAACAACATACTGGATATATTTGACGGAAACAGTTCGTCCTCAAGGCGGTTGGAGAGAGTGAATATGTACGGTGCCGAGGTGAACATGCCGTCTCCTCTCTACACAAGTGGCAACTTAATATATCGGCTGTAATGATATTATGTAATCATATTCATGGACATTATTTGTCTACATAAGGTGTGGTCATTTTGAAGATGACGTAAAAGCACCGGTTTTTGGCGTTAAAGTGCTGTTGGTGGGTTCGTTATGTCCAATATTAATTACCTTGGCTAGGAACACAAAAATCCATGTAGACTGATACACACTAAGAAGACGAATTAATGATTAAGGATCGCAAATAAGGCGAAATAATGACATATTTAGGGGATATAATCTATGATGTGATCATCAAGTTATATTAGTAATTTTCAGACGACCTGCCACCAAACAAACCAAGTTTATCATTGGACAATGTTATAATCAGCGGATCCTCCACAGCAGTATATGGCCAATACCAGGGTTACACCAATGGAATACGGACTGACTGGAGACATCCAGACTACCCTGATGTGGGACAAGTCGGCGTTGATATAAAAGACTCCGTCATAGTAGGAAACTACAGATTGATGAACGCTTGGTTATACAAAGTATCGAATGTTCCAATGGTGAATGAACTGTTACCATTATTCGCCATCTCAATCAAAAATACAACCTTATATTCCAATGACACCGGATTTATATTTATAATGACCGTGGAAATCGAGAACAGTTAACTATTGATGGATGTAAGATCAGAAATACCAGGAACACATTGTTACAGTACAGTGTCAGGGATGACAACCCCAAAGATGTGGACATCCAGTTCTTGAATAACGAAATCACTGATAACAGACATCAGGTACTTGACATCAGTGGTGGTGCTCTACATATGACAGTATCGGGGAATAACATCATAGACAATGAGTACAGCTATGGGTCAATAAGCTTATACCGGGGATATGAAAAGACAATACTATTTGTGAACAATGATATAGCCGGTAACCATTACAGACATATCGTTGTCATGAATATGGAGAAAACAACCTATGATCTAAGTAAAACACCAAACATTGGACTGGTAGGGAATGTCATTGCTAACAACACTTATTCATCCGGCAACAGTGAACGTCGGCCATCACAGCCCCCAATGTCAGCTGCACTCGTTTTAGATGGTTATGGAAATGTCTGCATTCAAAACAACACGCTTCAAAACCCTGGCCTAGAGACAGAGGTGTATGTCAAGACTCGCGCTTCAAAATGGACAGACACCACTGAAGCCAGGTACAACACGTGGGGATGTGAAAATACCCATTGCGTGAGAAAACGTACTTATGACGCACACAATGACATGTATCTGCCGGAAGTGCGAGTACTTCCATTTGTGTCAAGATCGAACGAGATGGTGTACACTCCTGACGTCACAGAGGGACTTCCACAAGGAAACGTCCTTGGCGGGTGGCTGAACAAGTCCATCACATTAGAAGCAGCAGGTTCTCCATTCTATCTAAAAGAAGATTGGACTATTTTACCTGGTGTTGAAGTTTTCATTGAACCTGGTGTTTGGATTAAGCCAGCAAGGGACAAAGGGATCCTCGTTCTGGGACAGATAGTTGCCAGGGGAGAAAAGGGAAAAAGGGTTGCCTTTGGCTGTCAATACCAAACAGCTTATTGTTCTTATTGGCATGGATTGGTGTTTGCATCAGATGACGTCAGTACTAGCCCTTCGGAATTGCTCTTTGTAGACGTTTTTAATGCAGGATACAAAGGGAACACGTACGGCACAGCTGTGCAGTCTTTCAGCCCCAGTATAATCATGCAGAACTCACGAGTGATCCAGTCCAGGTTGACGGTATTGAACTAATTGGACCAGTAGTGAAATCAAACATCATTAAACGAAACGAGTTCCTTAACAACAGAGGTGTTGGGATAAATGCTGTTGTGGCTTACCCAAGAAGTAAACCATTCAATACCAGGGTCAAACGAGAATCTGTGGGATGGCCTAGTGACGTTTATGGGGTCGATAATATTTGCGAAAAAACTTCCAAAATGCTCATTGTTAAAGACAGAACTGTGGTTTATTATTCTCACGGAAAACAGCATGGGTGATATTATTTTAATTGCACGCGTGCAATACGTTCTGAACTTGGACGGAATATCACAATCCAGTTTTTTACAGTTTAATCTGCAACGTTTTCAACTGGAAATATTCGAAGGATCGTCTCCTCTTCTCTCAAGGCGACTTCTTTATGCTGACCAGACAAACGATTCACTTCCTTCAGATGTTCCAATAAACAGTTCCAGTGTAACCATCCGGTTATATAGCAGGGCCTGGAACTGGGACACACATGGTTTGCAAAGCTTGGTCTTTGGTATCAAGATCTCCAGCGACACATCCACAGGTGTGTTAATGTACATCTTAAAGACATACTAGTAGCATGTCATTGTGGTACTTGGCATTCATACAAAGACTTCATCGATTGGTAAGCGTTCTTAAGGAAACATTTTTTAATTTACAGTATGTTAAAATACAAGTACACGTGTATATTTTACATGTTTCATAACCCATACTATTTGGTTTGCCTTTCAGGGTCTATCGGCAACTTTGTCATCGAGGAAAACACTTTCTTTAACAATGGTCTGGGTGGAGTGAACATAACTACATTTGGACAGAGTAATTGGGATATAAACATCAATAAAAACATATTCCACAGAAATGGACTTTCGACTTCCAACCGAGCTGAACATTCCAAAGCAGCTTTTCGGCTTAATATCGCTAACACCAATGCTACATTGGCAAACAATTACATGGAAGGGATCCATGGCGGCAGCCACGCCACGACTCACAGCGTATTCCAAAACAATAAGTTGAACATTTGGAGCAACCAGATTCTCTATACAACTCAGATAGAGAACATACTGGTTGCAGAAATAGAGGACGGCCCTCACACACAGCAGTGCAGTATAGATGGGAATGTGATACAGCACGGACAGGGAGATAGGTACAGTGATGTCCTCCACTTGGAGGGTGTGTCTGGAACCGTCACAAACAACTACATCTACAACAACACAGGTCTACATGTGATGTGGTGGACAACACCAGCCAATAGGAACACGAGTGAAGTCACCACTGACAACATCATACATGTACTTCTGGCGTGCCGAGGCTGAGCTTCTCAGGTACTGTCCACGCACTTTCTTATTGCCCACTAATTACACTCACCAATTACTTGATTTCTTCCCTACGGTCTAGCTACGGCCCAGCCAGACGAGAGGAACCTAGAAAACCGTACGTCCTGAAAATCATGCGTGGAGTTGGGACCCAGGCTTAAGCTCATATTAGCGACAAGACACGGCACAAGCATGTACTGTAGAGGTAATTGCCGTTGCCCGTAGCCACTTACGATGTCATAAAAATCCCACAGAAAATGTGTACGAGTTCATTGTACGACGTCCGTAGCAAATGTCATTTAGACTTTAGCGATCCAAATGAGATGAAGAAGCAATTTTCACATCGTCAGCGGAATATCGGTAGCGATCCGAGCGAGACGAGAAGGTTATTTTCATATTTGTTTTAGGGACTTCGTCAGCAGAAGATCGTCAGCGGGAGATAGTTACTGATCCGAGCAAAAAGAAAAGGCAATTTGAATATTTGTTCGAGGGCCTCATTAGTGGAAGATCGTCAGCGGGAGACCCGGTGGTTAGGATGCGTTCATTCGCAACTGAGTGAAATATGCTAATGTCTAGCCCTGCAAGAGCAAAATTTATTCACATGGTTGATATGGTAACAACTGACTACTGAATGTTTATTTTGCATTAAAACGTGCTCTAGCAGTTCAGACTCCCACCAAAAAGATATTGTCAAAATAAGTTCGTAATTAAAATATTTTTAATACTATTTTTTAAATATTTTTATTTATACCACCCTCCTTTGAAAATTATTCTTACTTTTTTTCATTTCATTCCTTTTATTTTTGAGTGTCAAACGAGCTGATAATGATAGGTAAGGATCATGGCTAATTAAAAATCCAAATGAACAGAAAAATCGAAGGCATAAAAATTTTTTAATTAGACTAATTATACAAGTAATAGACTGATTATACTGCTATACTTCATCCTCTGCTGTATGCGTTGGCGGCCATTTTGATTTTACAATGACAGAAACATGCTAGTATGCAGTCATTTATCCTACTGTGTTTTTATGACGGGAAATGTGTTCACAATAGTCACAAATAAATTATATCTGTCAACTCTTGGTTGTTTTTCTATTTTCTCTAAAAATTGACGGCCATATTGAAAATGCTCAAAGTCTCGGAAGTAGAAACCAAGCCAACTCAACGTTTCTAGCCCTCAAGGATGCATTTCTGTAATGAATGTTTACAGGAAAGATCATTGCAGGGTTCGACTATTTGGCATATGCGAGTGAGTGGGTATTTGTCATTTTGTATTTTGCATTATCATCCAGTGACGCCATCATGACGTCATCATTGCTGTAATAGATGTTTACAGTTAGTGTACGTTTCTCAAATTTATTCATGTTATCATAATTAACGCCGGTAGTGCTCGTTTACGTGAATTCTAGATGTACACAAAATGCTGAGTCAGCATATTTTAAGAAAGCTGCTCATCCGGGTACTTGTGAATTTTGGAGTTGCCCCCAAATCCAAAATTGACAAACACCCAATGGTCATTCATCGTGGAAAGTTTCATGCTTTTATCAACTTTTGCACAATTGTTTTGGCTTAGCCGCCTAACTAAGAAAGGGGTCGGTCAGCAAAGGTGTCTCACATTTGTTTGGTGATTTTTACATCAATGATATCTCGTCATTGTGAATGATACAAGCCATCTCGGCTTATTTGTAACACGTTTGATCACAAGTGTCTCGCTTGTGTCAAATACGACGTGTGTCCTAAATAACCGTCTAGTCTAATCTCTTGTATCGTGTTTAGGAGTACAACTCCAAAGCAAACAGGGATACGAGCTGGAGGAATGAAATGAGCGTGTTAATGGATCAGAAGTCAAAGGTCGAAATGTACGCATTGACCTACTTAGGTGTTTACTATATATAGGCTACTCACGCTGCACAGGTGTGTTGAGCTCGCAAGCAATGCGTTGTGAACTCTAAATGAGTTTGTTAGACAAGTTTTGGTAATCTTTAAGCTAAATCATATCAGAAAGAGTATGTTCTCTGAGAAATTTGATTTATTAGTTTCCCAAATACTGAATTTACGGCGCCCCTCCTAATATACGCTCTTTGTTTACAGGTCTAACCTGAACTTGTACAGCATTAAAAGAAACTTTAAAAGATTAAGTAAAAGCTTATACATAAGATTGTTCTTAGTTAATACTTTAGAGGGGGACTAAAATTAGAGTTGATCTGAAAAACGTTCAAGCATAAACGTAAGTTTTGTTTCAACAACAATTATAAGTAAAAAATAAGATAAGAAATATCTCAAGCAACTTATGTAAGAATTCTTACTAGTCATAACAATTGATAGGACTTATTTTCAAATCTGCTGTTAATCTATAAACTTTTTTTCCAAAATATTTTTTCCACGGACACTAAAATTTCTGTCCATGTACAATGTAAGTCGATTAATTTTTATATCATGGAGATTTTTTATGTTTTGATCATTTTACATTTTTTTTGAAACCGATGTCAAAATTAAACATTTGAAAGTAAAATACAGTTTTTATATTTTACAAAACACATGTAAGCCAATTATATTAAATTCATTTATTCTTCATTTTGAAATTGCTGACAAGAAACTATATTTTGACATGTTGTTAAGATCAGCCCCTTCACATTTATCATCAGCTGGAAATCGCTTCATCGTTTGTGCATCTCGTTTAGCCAATAACTTTTTCCGTGTGGTTTTCTTTTTAACTTTGCGTGCCTCATGTTTCTGTGCCAGTAAATTTTCCAAACTAACAGGGCTATGATAGAGTTTCCCTTCGTCTTCAACCGTCCGTCCCTTACTTCTACAGTTTTTCTAATTAATGTGTCTCCGTTTCATCCTTCCTCTTTCAACTGTTTCGCATAAATGAAGCACACCTGTTCGAATACTGCTTTTTAAAATAGAGTGTATGACATTCGATCTGGTGTTTTGTCTACTTCATCAAAGCCTATATTTAACAGAGTTTTCACTGTGCTGGGTGTATAATTTGTCTTCTTTTCATATGCGACAAACAACTGCACTAATTCGTGTTGCTTTTCGGGTGGCAGTGGAACGTTTAGTGGATTATTTTGTCTTTTGTCGGCTGTATTCATAGTACAGTGTGGACTGTGACGCTCGTGTTCGACATCTGCCGCATCTCTCAACGGGTCCCAGTTCTTTAGGTTTAAATTACAATTAAAACAACTGACCGTGTCGTCAGATTTGGTTGCATTCGGGTCCCTGTAAAACCCGCTGATGGCTAAAGGTATAGGGTTAATGAGAAGTCTACCAGACCAGTCAAGAAACCTCAGAACTCTATCCTCTTCTTTACAATAGGGTATCCAAAAAAAAAAAAAAGGCCTTGTCTTCTGATGCACAATCGGGGAATAGGTTACTGTCATCCATTGTTTCCGACGAAATAGTGACCTATGACAAAATTACTATGGTGAACGATACTTTATTAAAAGCAATATTTTCAGTAGCCAATCAGAAACAAGGACACATATCTTTAATGAAACCAATGAAGTTTGATCTTTTTCAACCAAATAATGTCCCACGCGTAAATCTATTTTAGATATGATGTAATAATCAACCAATCAAATTGCAGTATCGTATTATTTCAACCAATCAATGCCTCGCATGTAATCTATTTTTAGATATGATGTCATAATCAACCAATCATATTGCAGTATTTTAATTTCAACCAATCAAATGCCTCACACGTAAATTTTTTTTTGATATGATGTCATAATCAACCAATATAATTGCTAGTTGCAACATATAAACCGTTTGTTTATGTATTAGCCAATCTTTTTTGAGTGCACAGTTTTATATCTGGAGTGAAACAAGTTACATATTTATTGCAGCAACCATGGTCCACACGTGCAACATTTGCCAGAAAACGTTTCTTCTGAGGAAACAACTGATCCGCCATAAAGGTGTTGATCATGTTGTTAACAACCACGAATGTGATGTCTGCGGGGCAAAATTCAGTCGCCTCGATCACCTTAAACAGCATCGCATCACCCACAGCACAGAAAATGCCATTAAATGCCCAACTTGCGGAAAAGGATTTAAACTCAGAGGTAACATGCTTCGTCACATGCGCTTACACTCGACCAGACTAGAACAACCGACCTTAAGATGCCCCGAGTGTGCCGAAGTATTTGCCACCCCACAGGACCGTCTAAACCACCAGGCTGAAGCTCATCCGCAACCGGGGCCCTCGAGCAAAAGAAAAGCAGGTTCTCAACCCGACATCGTTAGTAAGAAAATTCAAGTGGGGTATGGCGCTGGGGCTATCCTTTCCCCTGATCCAGTCAGCATGCCTGAAGATCTTCTTCCTCCTGATACTGAGCCTCTTGTACGCGACGCCTACATGCATCATTGCAGTAGCATCCGCACTCGATTCTCTAGGGGAAACAAATTACAAGACTGGTACAACTTTCGGTTGACTTCTGTTCACCCTGACGATCTTCGAGAAGGGCTAGCTGCCGTGTTTAAAGACCAAAAGACTGTCTTTAAGCTGAATGTGTCTTACGGATTTTTTTAAAGAAACATCGAGACACGGGAAATACGGTATTATCACCCCAGCAGCAACAATCACTGTTTCCTTGAATAACCGTATTTGATCCAAAACAAAGACGATCTAGACGGCTTTTTCGAGCGTATTGCTGTCAGGGATATTTTGGAGTGCGCCCGGCAGGTGAGACCCAACTCCAGATGGATAGTAGAGATGATCACTAGCGTTACGTTCTACGTGACCAAGCTGGTAGGTCATCCGATCGGCAGTGCTGGCCTTCTACCGAACTTTATCTCCAACAACAAGGGTTTGGTCGCACTGCAAGGAGATAAGAATGGTTGTTATAAGGACAATTTGTTCGTTTTCCGCTGCTTAATCTTGCACAGGGGGTGGCCTGTATTTCAACTAGAAAAAACCACCAAACAACTTTTGGAAAAATACAGAGCTGAGACCAGGTGCAAGATAAAAGGATTTGAGGGTGTGTCGCTCAACCAACTGGAGCGAGTTGAAAAGTTGTTCGAAGTCAACATAACGGTATACGAGCTGCAGGAAACAGAAGACGGTGCGACTTTTGCTGAACTTGTGCGTCGATCGCTGAGTGCGAACAAGGAAACCATGTCGCTTAATGTGTATGAAAATCACTTTTCGTACATACGTGACATGGGGAAATACACTCAGTCTTTTTGCTGCTCAAAATGCAACAAAATGTTCAAGCACAAAGGTAACCTACATGCTCACGAACGGACATGTGAAGCCATCGTCGAGCACCGCTTCCCTGGGAAAGCTTACACACCCCAACAGACAATATTTGAACAGTTGGAAGATGAAGGTATCGTGGTCCCCGAAAAAGACAGATATTACCCATACAGGGCAACCTTCGATATTGAGTGTCTGTTGCCGAAACATCAGCAGCCTGGTCACAGCAAAAAACTTCACTTGGAAAACGAACACCAGTTTTTGAGAGTGAGTGTGTGTAGCAATGTACCCGGGTACACCAAAACTCAGGGCATTTTTTCCAATGGTGAGCCATTGCTAGCTGTGCAACGGTTCATTGATACGTTACAAGACATAAGCCGCGCAGCCGAAACTATTCAAAGACACAAGTTTACCAGGGTGTTTGAAACTCTAGATGAAAAAATAGAAAAAGACTTGGAAAAGAGATCAGAAAATGAAAACAGCGAGGACGAGGGAAAGGATGAAAAGTAGTTGAAAAACAAACATATTTTATCAAAACTTAGTGGTAAATTTAGCAATTATTTAAATGAGTTACCTGTTTTAGGGTTTAATAGTGGACACTATGACTTGAATGCCATAAAGACGTTGTTTTTCCCGCTTTTGTTAAATTCGGAAAAAATACGCTTTGTTGTAAAGCGGAACAATAACTTCATGGTGCTCAAGTCGGATAGGTTGAAAATCTTAGATATTAGAAATTTCTTAGCTCCAGGGTTTAGTTATAGTCAATTTTTAAAGGCATTCGAGTGCCAAGAATCCAAGGGGTTCTTTCCTTATGAATAGATGGACTCCCTAGACAAACTTGAGTGTGCAAGTCTCCCTCCACGCGAAGCGTTTTTCTCACAGTTGAAACAAAATGACATAAGTGAGGAGGATTATGCATTGTGTCAACGCGTTTGGCATGAAAACCACATGCAAACAATGCGCGACTTTCTCACCTGGTATAACAACAAAGACGTTGAGCCGATGTTGGAAGCAGTGGCTAAAATGTTCGCCTTCTACCTTGAGAGGGGTATAGATATGTTTAAAGATGGTATTAGGTTACCAGGTTTGACATTGAAGTACCTGTTTCAAAACGTAGGAGACGCTTATTTCACTCTTTGTGATGACAAAAACAGCGATCTCCACTAATTCCTGAAAAAATGCCATGGTGGGCGGTCCCAGTATTTTATTCCATCGTCACCACGAGAAGGATAAAACCTTCATCAGAAAAGCCACTCTAGATGCACCAAAGCTCTGCAAGAAAATCATTGGCTACGATGCTAATGCTCTTTACTTGTGGTGCTTGATGCAGCCTATGCCCACGGGGACGTTTGTTAAGCCTCTCTTCTGGTCCTCAAATCAAGTTCGGTCCCTTGGTTCTAAACTGTTTACCAGAAGCTCTGAACTGGTCCTACACCTGTAAATGTCCATTATGACGAGTTCAAACGTGTTCCCCAAACGTGTCCTTGGCTGACTCTATTATGGTCTCCAATATTTGAGGTTTAAAACTTTGAGAGGCTATCAAAAAACGTACGTAAACTGAATGTTAGAAAGAAATGCATTTCAATTATTTAAAATTGTATTATATTTGCTACAATATATTCTCATATTTTTAAAGAACACAAAAGTTTTGCTGCGTGACTACCTTTAGGATGCTTACACTACTACAATATTTATGGCGTTCTCTGCTTCTTGTTTTCAAGACAGTTACATTCGTGGGTGATTGTGTGCATGTTGGGGGGGGGGGTACTCACTCACTGTCATGATCGTGCGTTCTTTATTCCGTTTCAAGTTTCAAAATTTTCTTTCATGCCCGAAATCTGTGAATTTAAATACTCGATCCCCACCATTAATAGTGCCACCGACTCTCACATTGACTGCCTCTCTTGTTATAGAGCACAATTCAAAGTAATTTAAAAGAGACAAACCTAGCTGTTATTACAGAAACGGGATTCTTTAACATAGATTTTGTCTCGA